AGGCTCTGTCTAACATGCTTTGGACATGTTGTGAGGAGAGACAGGTTCTTGGAGAGGACATCATGCTTGGGAGGGTGGAGGGACAGCACAGGAGAGGAAGGCCCTTTGTGAGGTGGATTGATTCAGTGACTGTGATAATTGGGATGGGAGTGTCAGAGACAGTGCGATTGGCACAGGACAGAGCGGAGTTTAGGGCTGTTGTACATAGGGTCGCTATGAGTCGCAGGTGACTCGACGGCACATAACAACAACAACAACAACAATTCCTCTTTCTGGTTTCACACATTATTTTTAGGCTTTCTTCTTTTTCCTTCCTTTTTGATCTGCTTTTTGTCCTAGCAGATCAGTGGTGACAATTTTATCTTCTATTTCATTGGTTCTCTGTTCCATCCCTTCAACTCTGTTCATGTGTCCCTCCTACGTGTTGACAACAACTGAAACATTGGTCCACATATTTTAGGCTGTGTTTTCTTGTTTTTTCAGAGCTTCTAAGGCCTTATTTGTTTATGTGCATTGTTTTGATTTATTTATTTTGTTTGTTTATTTGTTTGTTTGTTTGTTTTAAGCTTCTTCTGGTTTTTGCTTGTTGTTTCCTGTAATTCTTCGAGATTTTCTTTCACCCACTGAAAATATTTAATCATTGTTCTTTTAAATTCTTTGTCAGAAAGCTCCATCAGACTTTCTGGCTTCAGGAAATCTATCGATACTGTGTCATTTTTTTTTGGAGTGACATCTTATTTTGGGTTTATATAAGGTGTGAGGTAGCCTGCTTCCTATGTGACATTGCTTTGTTAGATTTTTTCATGCCCAGGGCAATAATAGGCTCTTGGTCTGATGTCACTTCCCTAGAGGAGGGTTTAGTATCTACCCTGCTTGAATTTCTCTCTGAACTTTTGACTCAAGGGAAGACTTGCTTCATTTGGGGGGAAATAAGGCCTATGAATTAACAACTTCCTCTGTCAGAAAACTGGTCCAGCTAGGTCAATCCAAGGTACTCTGGGCTAAAGGCTTTGGAAGAGGAAGAAATGAAATGCACTCACCTGTGAAATTAATGTCTGTTGCAGTTCAGAGTGGCAGCAACAGTTTGTCCTCCTGGCATTGAGGCTGGGGCATCCAGGCTATGAGTACAAATGGTGGGGTCAAGTCCTCCAGGCATTACAGGTGGGACTTACAGGTGACTGGGTTGGCACTTCCAGGCAGCAGGATTGGGGCTTAAAGGCAAAGAGCTGGTATCGGGCTTTCAGATGGTGAGAAGGATCATTCAGGTACCTACGTAAGGTCCTTCAAGCAACAGATTCAGAGTTACAGGGCCAAGAGGACCTCCAGTCAGAGGCGGTGGGCCCTACCAAGCATTGGTGCAGTGGTCTAGTGCTCAAGTCAAGAGACAAGTTTGAACACACTAAGAAATTTTTTAGGCAGATACCTAGCTAATTGACTGGATAAGTGGTATGGCACAGCAGTGTTGCCGTGCAGAAGCAACATAGCACAGAAGTCAGGATTTAGATCTTTTTGGAAGTAGACTACCACATCTTTTCTCCTTGTGTATCAACTGGTGGGTTTGAAATACTGACTGTTGATTAGCAGCCAAGCACTTTAACCAGTGTGTGCCACCAGATCTCCGTTGATTTTTGTTGTTGTTGTTATATGCCATCAAGTCACTTGCAACTCAAAGCGACCCTAAGGACAACAGCCCTAAACCCTGCTCTATCTCTTGCCATCCTTATTGTCTCTAACACACCTATTCCCATTACCCCAGTGACAGAATCAATCTACCTCATCGAAGGTCTCCTGTGCTGTCCCTCCACCCTCCCAAGCATAACGTCCCTCTCCAAGGACTGATCATGCCTTGCAACATTTCCAAAGTATGTCAGATGGAGCTTCAGAATCCTTGCCTCCAAGGAGCAGCCTGGCTTTACCCTCTCCAGTATGCACTTGTTTGTTCTCCTAGCAGTCCATGGTATATTCAATACTCTTCTCCAGCACCAAAGCTCAAAGGCATCAACTATCCTACTATCATCCCTCATCATTGTCCAGCTCTCTGATACATAGCAAATAATGGAAAAGATCATGGCCTGTATCATGTGCACCTTAGTCTCCAGACTGACTTCATTGCTCTTCAGTACCTTGGAGAGGTCTCTGACAGTAGGCTTTCCCAATCCAATTCTTATTTAATTTCCTGGCTGCTGATACCAAGAGTGTTGATTGTAGAGCTAAGCAAACTGAAGCTGTCAACAATTTCAAACTCTTCATCATCTATCATGGTGCTGCAAATTAGCCCAGTGGTGAGAATCCTTGTTTTCTTGATGTTGAGCTTCAATCCATATTGAAGGCTGCAGTCCTTGACTCTCTGCAGCAAGTGCTTCAGGTCCTCCTCAGTTTTAGCACGCAGGGTTGTGTCATCCGCATAATGCAGGTTGTCGATGACTCTTCCACCAATCCTGATGCCACATTCCTCCTCATAGAGGCCAGCCTCCCAGATAATCTGTTCTGCATATAGATTGAAAAGATCTAATGATAAATTAATTGCTTTCAGATAGGAACCAACTCATAGCTGACCCTCCAGTGGGTTTTCAGGAGGCTGTAAATATCATAGGTGGAGATTTCCTATATTTCTCTTTGAAAGCCACTAGTGGATTTGAACAGTCAGAGAGAGGGCACCTTTCCATCTGTACTGACTACATGACCTAATGATAAGGTGTTCTGGGAATCTAAAACAAACAAACAAAAAAAAACCCCTAGGAATGTTTATAGTGCAGTTCATGTGACTTGAGTACTTCAAAAATCAGTGAGCACATACTTGTAATAAAATATTTTGACACTAATACTTTCACTTATCTCACAGATTTATTAAGGTGAAGCATACATATCATAAAATTCACCAACTAGAAATGTGAATTTCATTGGGCTTAGAAAATGTATAATGTTTACAATTATCACTGCAATCTAAGTTTCTAAATCTTTTATCATTGCACATTTTTTCCTCAATCCTCAATTCCTCTACCTACCCCCAGTCTTAAGTAAAATCTGAGTTGCCAATTGATTTAGAAAGAATGATGACAAATATTTTAAAAGAACTAATTGCATTACATTTTTTTCTTGAAAAGAACCCTGGACTTGATTCCTGTATCTCAACTTCTGAAATGCTGTAGAGTAGGATATAGCTTTCTAAAAGCTAGAGATCTTGAGAATTACATAAAATATTACATTTCTGCTATAAATCAGACCTTTCTAATTAACACATGGATTTTTCAAACTTTCATAAAGGGGCCTTGCTATGTCAGGAATTAATTATGGAGATGTGGTTGTAGTTATACAAATTAACTAATGCCAGCCTCAGTGGTATCTGGATATAAACTCAGTTTGTATAACTTTCTGTCACTAGTATTTATGGTCTGTATCTCAGTTAAAATCTCGTCTTTAATATATCTCTCATGTGCCAAGGACCTCTTTAAAACGCTAAAAAGCAAACAAGCCAATTAATGACTAAGGTGCACTTGATGCCAGCAATCACATTTTCAGTTATTTTATAATGCACCTGAAAGTTGAACAATTAATAAGGAAGACTGAAGAATTAATTCCTTTGAATTTTGGTGTTGGCAAAGAGTATTGATATACCATGGACTACCAAAAGAACAAACTATGTTGGTGGAAAATCAGCCAGGATGCTCCAGCATGTTATCAAGAGGGGAAAGTCCCTACAAAAGGACATCAGGATTAAAAAGGTGGAGAGTCAGAGAAGTAAGGGAAAACTCAGAGATGGATTGACATAGTGACTACAATGGTGATCTTGGACACAGCAGAGACTTTGTTAAATGTAGTGCAAGATTGAGTAAGGTTTATATCTGTTGTACAAAAGATCACTATTAGACAGAATTGACACTACAAAACCTAACAATGACAACTTCACACTTTATTCTACCAGTAAATTCCTCAAGCTTTTTATTGTAATAATTCTTGACATAAAGATGGTCTTGTTAGCCTTAAAGGGCACTTCAGTTTCACTTCAGATCATAATAACTCATCTTGAAATGCAAGAATCTAAGCTCAGAAAATTAATGGAGTGAGAACAGGAAAAACTGAATATTAGTATAAACAAAACACTTCATGATAATTGTGGTTCTCATTTTACATGTGAATTTATTTACAAATGATTAACTTTTCATTTGAGACACTGAGTTTTTGCTAACAATTTGTGCAGGCATTTTTTTTCACCTTGTAAACTATAATTAAAGGTATAACTGAAAGAATCTTTGGAATCTGTTTTATTATGCTGGAAAGGATACTTTTTAAAGTATTTCCTACTGCTGTGTAGTAGGTTTTGAGGTCAAGGAGTGCTATGCCTCCAGTGAGGCACAAACTGAGATTTGTACACCAATAGCAGCATCATTAACCATCACAAGAACATGGAAACAGGCCAAATATCCAAACACAAACGAACAGATTGAGAAATTATGATACATTCACACAATGGACTACTACGCAGCACGCAGGAGCAATGATTTTGTAAATCACTACCTAACTTGGGAGGGATGGACAGCATTATGCTGAGTGAACTAACTCAGTCCCATAAGGACAAATAGTGTGTAAATCCATTATTTTAAAATAAGTATAAGGATCCAAGAGGGGTGGGAGAGGGTGGAAGCAGAAGGATGAGGATGTGCAGGGGTGGGGGATATTAATGATCGGGTTGTACAATTTGATGGGGGCGGGGTGAGGGCAATTGAAAGAATTTTTTCTTAAAAACAATGTGTTCAAATTTTGTAAATAAACTAGCAGAAAATGAAAAAAAAACCCACTCCATTTACAAGTGGAAAAAAGGTATTTCCTCATTATCATTCTGTAAGCATTCCATAAAATAACAGTCATCAGGTTCCCAGCTGTATTAATTTTTAACCATAGACCTAATTGCAGCAGTATACACACTCTATTCATCAAGTTCTTACAATGAGAAAGAGGTAATAATTTGCTCTAATAGGCTAAATTTGATACTCTTGTTTCAGAAACACAGAACCTTTCACGGCATACTTCCTACCTGGCAGTGATCCTGAGTTTTCTGTAAATCCTGAAGTTGGAAAAGTCCCTCCTCTTACCTCTGATGGAACCTTAGTTAATGTGGGATTTATGCCCCAGATGTACGGCAAGAAATACAAAGCAATGTTAGTAATAGAGGTGAGTTATTGAAAATTAATATTAAAGGATATTTAATGTCAGTAATAGCACTCACTGAATGGGAGAAAAGGGCTCACTATTTAGAGAAAAGTAACCATATTACCTTTCAAAATTAAGTTTATTTTAATATTTGCATCTTCTTTTACTTTATTTTATCCAAAAAAGTACTTTATAAAATGGAATATAACGAGAAGGTTCTCTACACCATAGGAAAGTAAGGAATTATGTCTTCTTCCCATTAAAGAAATATGAAAAAGCAAATAATTACCCTAAAGTGATTTGGAGATCAATATATCATTTTTCTATAATTAAGCTGTTAAAATACTTAAGTGAATGTGATTTGAGATAAAGACTGTGGAGTCTTTGATTAAGGTATATGATAATATCAAGATGTTAAAGAAAATGAAATTGTGGGTAAAATACATTTTTAATTGAAAAATAAAATGTAAAATGAGACACAGTGAAACACTGTGGCAGACATGAGAGCTGTAGTGTCTGACCTCTACTAACTCCATAAGGGAGAATAGTCCCCACCACCAAAAGCAACAGCACAAAACTGATTCCTAGAATTCAGACATCCCCTTGCACTCTTACATCTACTTCTACCAATTTTTATTTTATTTTATTTTATTTTATATTATTTTATTTTATTTTATTTTAAATAATTTTAATGAACATTTACAGGGAATTTGGATTTTCATTCATTCATTGTACTTCTACCAATTTTTATACCAACCATTCCTCCCCAGCTCTCAATAGTCTACTAAGTATTAGATTTGTGACTCTGATACAATGACCTAAAGAATTTACTGAAAATATTCTTGATTGTGGGGTTTATTATAAAAGAAACAAGTTACAATTTAAATTAGAAACACTTAGGATACAATTCTCAATTCAGGAGAGCTTCTTCTCAGGTGCTCTCAAGTCAAACCTCTAACCTTCAGCCTCACTAGATCTTGCCTTGTAGCTCTGGGCCAATGTTACAAAGCTCTTTTAGTTCTTCCACTTACGTTGTTCCTTCTCTCCCCACCCCTATCAATAAGCTAGACTAAGGCCCTCAGTTCTTGCTCTGTAGGGAAGCAGTTCTGATTCAGCTCTGTCTCACACTAACCTCTGGTTGTCCACTACTCTTCTGCTGCTTGTTGTGCTGATGCTTATGGTGCTGATGTTCATCTGATCTGAATCTTCATCAAAGTTCAGGAGTTTCTGGTCTAAAAAAATGTACTATATTCTTTCCTTCTTTCTTGGCAGAATGGCAAAATTGACCAGTACCCTTGTTAGTAGTCTACATACCTTATTTTCATGTTCCTATCCTGAAGGCGCTGTGTACCATATTTACATTATTAGCATGATAACCAATCCCCTTGGTGGGGCCACAAACACCCAATATTTGTATAGTCCTTCTTATTCATGTGGTGAAAGACAAAGCCACATATTGCATAAAGACATTAATATAAAAGTCTATTAAAAATGACCACTTTATTAAAAATTGAGATAAGCATGAATTTAAAAAGGGAGTGGCAATATACAATAAAGGTCTGCTTAGATATTGTGATTTCATGACATTAACTAATGATGACTTTACCTATTAATATAATTATATTTAAAAAGCCAATGAAATTTACAAATTTTCACTCCAATAGAAAATATTAAGATTTAAAAGATAAGAACACATTTTAAAATTTTCTTTGTAAATGAAATGTCTAAAATTTCACACATGGTATGTACCAAGAACTTTTTGACTAAAGCTAATGTTCAAATTAGTTCTAAAATAATGTCTGTGATCCCTGTGTAAAAAACATTGAATAGTCAAGATATACATTAGCTTATTCCAAAGTGATTATTAAACTTCAAAATTAGACACTTATTAGACAATTCCATGGAGAGAAATGGTTGTTATTGGTGATTAAATGAAGAGAAAACAGATACTAGTTTGATTATCATTTGAGACACTTATTTCTATTTTTTTCTTTCGTTCTACAAGTTCTTAGAGCTTGAGTAACAAAAAATATTTACTCTTTGGGGACATGCTGCATGCACCACTTTGCCTGAATTGATGATGATATGATCCTGTTGTTGCACATTTTTTTTAAGAAAGGTGGACAGACTTGGCCGTAAGCAGATAAAATGACGCCTTTAAAAATGGGACATTTTTAAAAAAAGGGGTCATTTCTGGAGGAATAGAAACATCTGATATGTTGTGTTGTTGTTAAGTGCCGTCAAGTTCCAGGCGACTCATAGCGACCCTATGAAGGAGAGTCCTTGACGCTTGGGTGCCTTTCTTCCTCTCTCCAGGTTCATAGAGTTTCCAGAGGCAAGCTATTAAGGAAGTGGATGCCACTTCTCCTTCCAAGCTTGTTTTAATTGGGGAGCTTCACCCCACTCTCTGTCTGCATTGGGTAGCCAACCATTAACGCATTTGACACATCACATCTGATATAGTTGTAGTAAAATAACAAAAATGAGAAAATTTATAATACAGATTTTACAATGCTTTCACAATTTGTAAATATATATGTATGCTTAGTTCTAGACACTCTGAATCCATGTATAGATTCATATAACAATAATTGAAATGCATAATTGGTCCATTCCCACAGAAGAATACTTAATGGTCTAGCCCAGCTTTTTACCACAGCCCTGACCGTGACACTCACTAATCTATTTTCCATAGCTTTGTCATTTCCAGTATGTTTTGATTAGTGGTAAAGAGATGTGCTGCCACTGAAAGACACAGATTTCAATCCAGCAGCTGCTTCACAGGAAAAAACCCAATCTCCTCCCTTGGAATTTACAGCCTCTGGAAATCTGCTTGAACATCAGTTATGAGTCTGTTCGGATTTGACAGCAGATAACAACAGTATGCTGTATAAATGGAATTGTACATTGCGTAGCCTACTGCAATTGGCTTTTTTTTTTAGTATATGTGCTGCTGAAGCGAGCACTGCAATTGGCTTTTAATACTAATTATAAAGCCCTTGAAATTTTTTCCAAGTTGTAGCATATATTAAAATCAATGAATGATCTTGATGTCATGTTTCAAATCCATACCTTAACTACAAAGTCTTATCAATTACATCCCAATGCTACTTCACACCATAAATATGAAGACCTTGACAAAATCATGCAATAAGTATTATTGTTCGCATTATCATATTTTTTAAATTTTCATTTTGAGTGCTAAGTCAGTATTTACCACTATTAGCAAGCTATGTGTTAATTGTGTTTTGTTTGGAAATAAAATTATTATTTTGAAAATACAGTCTAAGGGAGATGTCTTGGAGTCTGCTTTGTGACTACTGACCAGTCCTACTCCCACTGACATCTATTTCAGATACTTGTAGCCCTCAATTTCACTAGTGAGTAGAGTTCCTGGAGGCCACAACACCAAGACTCAACCTGGTGGGGGGACCCATTCTCCTCACCCTTGGAACTGGAGGATCACAATGTCATGGAAGAAGCAGATAAATTCAAACTCTGTGAAAAACAAAAGCAAGAAGTCACCTCAAAAAATTGATGAAGGCATGCCATTAATGCATATCCTAGAGGAGGAAAGATTGATAGAACTTCCTGCCATGGAATTCAAAGAAATGATGATAAAATATTTTCATTGGATGAAAGAAAAAAATGGAAGATGCAGACAAAACCCTCTAGGAACTAAAAAAAAATAAAAAAACAAGGCAAAGAAGATAAAACAAATGAATCATTAGAAACCATAGATAAACAAGAAACAACAATCCAGAATAATAAGACCAACATTTCAGAAGCTGTCAACATATTGGAGCGACAGATGAACAGAGTTGAAAAGACACAACACAGAATAGAGAAAACAGAAGATAGAGCATCCAGGACTCACCTGCTAGAGCAAAAAACAAGGAAGTTTTTCCCACAGTCCCACAGAGAGGCCACAAGAAGTAGATTGGTCAAAGTAACCATCAAAAATACAAAACCCAACAAAATAATAGCAATAAAATCTTGTTTCTTGAACATTACAGTGAATGTGAATGTCTTAAATGCACTAGTGAAGACAAAAAAGAGTAAGAAGCTGAATTTAAACAAACAAACAAACAAACCCAAAAACCAAGGCTATCTTTTTTGGAGTAATTTGAATTACTTTTTTAATGACTGAGGTTCCATTTGACTGTTCGCATTGAGATTGCAATGTGCACAATTTCTTTTGTAGTTGTGGCACCTTGTTGACATTGACTATTATTTTTATAATAATTACCAGTTCCTGAAAACAAAACAAAAAAAAGTAAGGCCTATCAATATGCTGCCTACAAGAGACAAACCTGAGGAATAAAGCTAAAAGCAGAGTCAAAATCAAAGGTTCGGGGGCAGGGGGATACTAAGCTACTAGCAACCAAAAAAGAGCAGGAGTAGCCAGAATAATCTCTGATAAATAGAATTCAAGGTTAAAAACCATCATAAATTATACACTACATAATACTTAAAAGAGTCAATAGAACAAAAGGACATGTTGTTGTTGTTATGTGCCGTCAAGTCACTTGCGACTCATAATGACCCCTATGTACTACAGCACTGAACCCTGCTCTATCATGTACTAACTGTATTGTCTCTGACACACCTTATTCCCATTACCCCAGTCACTGAATTAATCCATCTCATCAAGAGTCATCCTTGTGTTGTCCCTCTACTCTTCCAAGCATGACATCCCTCTCCAAGGAGTGGTCCCTCCTTGCAACATGTCCAAAGTATGTCAGATTAAGCTTCAGAATTCTTCCCTCCAAGGTGCACCCTGATTTCCCCTTCTCCAGGATGAACCTGTTTGTTCTTCTGGCAGTCCATAGTATATTCAATACTCTTCTCCAGCACCACAGCTTAAAGGCATTAATTCTCCTTCTATCATCCCTAGTCATTGTCCAGCTTTCTGATGCATAGCAAGTAATTGTGAAGACCATGGCCTAGATCAAGCACACCTTAGTCTCCAGATTGAAATTGTTCTTCTGTACTGTGGAGAGGTCCCTGACAGCAGATTTTCCCTATTCATCAAATGATAAAATTGCAAAATGCACAAAACAAACATTAACAGAATTGAAAACAGAAATAGACAAACAATAATAGTAGTTGTTTTGTAGTTGTTGTGTGCTGTCGAATCAAAACTGATCATAGCTGACCCTTCAGCAAGTTTTCAGAGATAGTAAATGGTATGAGAGAAAGGAGGTTGCCTATCCTTCTCATGTGGAAATGAGGAGAGATTGGAACTGTCTTTCATTGCTGATGGGAATGTAAAATGGTGAAATCACTAGGGAAGGCAGTCTGACACTTCCTCAAAAAGTTGAAAATAGAAGTGATATTTGACTCAGCTATCCCACTACTGGCAATATACTGTAAATAGAACAAAACAGTGAAACAAACAGATTGATGCATACCTATGTTTATTACAGCATTATTCATATTAGCAATGACATGGAAGCAAGCCCAAGTGCCCATCAACAAATGAATGAATAGGAAAACTGTGGTACATTCAAATGATGGAATATTAGGCAGTATTGAAAGCAATGAAACATTACACAACATGGGTGAGTCTAGAAGAAATTATGCTGGGTGAAATATCTCAATAACAAAAGGACAAATATTGCAGAAGAGTACTCTTATAAAAATTGTATGGACTCAGGGAGAGCAAAGAACAGGAAAATAATGGGTAGATTGTAATCACTACACTGGAATAGGTTAAGGGAAAGATTATCTGGAAAAAAATGGATGATTAGTATTACAGCTAACAATCCAAAAGAAGACTTGCATTATCAAATGAATTGGAGGAAGGGAATGGAGGAAAATGTGTATCAGCGAATGAATGAAAACCCATCCTTTCTGTAAACTTTCATGAAAATAACAATAAAAAGGAAAAAGTTAAAAAATAGTTTCATTAAATACTAGCCTAAATAAACTTTAGCAGTGAATTAGCAAGTTTCATGATTTCCTTTTCAATTAAGACAAATTTTGAATCATTCAACTGTACCCTCAAAAATATTACACCAGGCAAATAATACTAGTTCAAAGGAAATGATACTAAAAAAAAAGTACAACTGAAAGAACTCTACTTCGGTAATTTGAATCTGACTCATAATGACCCTCCATCCTGTTTCCAAGACTGCAATTTTTTATTGGAGGAGAGTGGCTTATCTTTCTTCTGAGGAACAGCTGATGGATTCAAACCACCAATCTCCTGGCTGCTGTTGCATACCATCAAGACGGAACTGACTTCACTGGTCTCCCAGAGGGCCTTTAGAGGCTTCACATTGCACTGGAGGAAACTGCGTACCTTTCTCCCTTGGAACACCTGGTGGATTTGAACCTTAGATTTAATAGCATAACTTCTTACCACTAGGCCACAAGTGTTCCCTAACCTTTTGGTGGTGCTTGTTGTATGCTGTTGAGTCAGAACCAACTCATAGAGACAGTAAATCACAAGGAAAGAGATTGCCTATCCTTCTCCTAGGGAGCAGCTTGTGGATATGAACCTTGTGCCAAAATTTATTACACCTTCAGATCTTTCTTAATCTAAACAGCAGAAATTCAGTGTATTGTGTCAGTTAGTTCTATGGCCACACCTAAGTTCTCACATATATGAGCATCTTGCATTTTCATTAGGAATGTTTCATGCTGTGCAACAGTGTCATGTGAACAAAATAGGTTGTTTTCCCTCCTGTCAGATGTATTCTTAGCTGACCTGTAGGGGAGAACTTCACTCAACTGTGATAATTTTTTGTTACAAAAAATTTTCCTTAATTTATAAAGCCAAGTGTTTCCTTAGATTTTTTTTTTCTACATCAATTTTATGTCACTATAGGTATAAGGGAAAGGCTGCGGTTAGGGACCTCTCCAAATTATTGAAGAGTAATGATGTCAGCTTGAGGACTAAGATGCATCTGATTCAGGCCATGATCTTTCCAGTCACTTGCTATACATCTGAGAGCTAGACAATGAGCAAGGGTGACAGAAGAAGAATTGATGCTTTTGAGCTGTAGTGTTGGAGAAGAGTACTGAATACCCCATTGACTGTCAAAAGAACAAACAGATATGTCTTGGAGAAGGTACAGACAGAGTGCTTCTAGAGGCAAAAATGATGAAGCTTCATCTCATATAATTTGGGCATTTTGCTAGGAGTGGTTATTCTTTGGAGAGAGAATGCTTGAAAATATAGAGGGATGGCAAAGGAGAAGAAGAGCTTCAACTAGGTGAATTGACACAGTGACTGCAACAATGGGCTTGAATTTGTCAGAGATTGTAAAGATGCCACAGGATAGGACAGGGTTCAGATCTGTTGTTCATAGGATCACTATGAGTCATACTCACCTCAGTGGCAACTAACAATAACATAGGTACAAGGAGCCATAATAGAGTAGTGTGTAACATGTTGTGCTGCTAAGTAAAAGGTCAGAGATTTGAGTCCTTCAGGAAAGAGGTGGACAGTTTTCCTCCCATAAAGATGTATAGCTTTAGAAACTCAAGAGAGGGTCTCTATGAGTTAAATTCAACTCTATGACATTAGATTTAGGGTTGTTTAGGTTTCAGTGTAGGTGTGGTCTGAATTTTGTACCTTTATCCCATTTTGCATAGAGGAAAATTATTGTTGTTTTTATATGCGGGCAACTCATAGCAACCCTATGTACAACAGCTCTGATGCCTGCTCTGTCCTGAGCCAGTCTTACTGACTCTGACACCCCTATCCTCATTGCCCCAGTTACTATGTCAATTCATCTCATCGGGGGTCTTCCTCTCCTTCTCCAAAGACTAGTCACTCCTGGTCACATTCCCAAAGTATGTGAGATGGAGCTCCAAAATCCTAGCCTCCAAGAAGAAACTTGGTTTCACCCTCTCCAACACAGATTTATTTGTTTTCTTTCTTGGTGGTCCATGGTATGTTTAAATCTCTTCCCCCACACAATTCAAAAGTATCTATTCTTCTGTCATCTTTAGTTGTTGTTCAACTCACTAGAGCATAACAAGTAATTATGAAGACCATGGCACGGATCAGGTGTTCCTTAATCTCTAAACAGACATCATTGCGTCTCAGTACTCAGGAGTGAGTACTTACAACAAAATACATTTATAAGTACTTTTTTTCTTTCCTCTAGGTCCCTATATACTGCATATAAAATATTTTCCTCTCTTTTTTTTTTTCAGACAGTAGAGCTGTACTGGAAGTTTGAAATAAATGGATTACCAGAAACTCCCTTATCCCTAGAGAATGTCCAAGCCAGAATTGATGCATCTAATGACAAATTTGAAAACAGATTAATAATAAGCACAATGTTGTCAAAGAAAAAAAAGATATAGCTGCTGTCTCCCTTTAATGATACATCTAAGACATCAAAGAAATAAAAATAAAAACAAACCCACCTTGCTTCCAAAATTGTCTCTGTTTTGAATTTAATTGAAAATATTTTCATGATGACTCTTTTTTCTTTTTGCAACAAAAATGATGAAAAATACTTTGATTACATTGTTGTTGTGAGGTGTTGTCAAGTATGACTCATAGTGAGCCCATCAACAATAAATCTGAAACCTTCCCTAACTTGTGCCATTCTCATAATTTCTGACATACTTAATCCCATTGTATCAATCATTGTGTCAGTCAGTCTCATTGAGAGTTGTCTTCTCTTTCACCAATGGTCCCCCTTTCTAAGCATGATGGCCCTTTTCTTCCTAACAACTTCCCAAAATATGTGAGATGAATCTTTACCACCCTGGCCTCTAAGGAGCACTCTGCACTTTCTCCAAGTTTGTTCTTTAGTGAGTTAGTGGAATATTCAGTACTATTCTCCAATATCACAACTCAAAAGCATTGATTCTTCTGTCATCCTTAGTCATTGTCCAACATTTATTTTTTAGATTCAGGTCAATTTGTATTTTTTAAATAATTTATTGTGATTTTAATGAAAGTTTACAGAAAAGTTGGATTTTCATTCATTCATTGTTGCACATTTCCCCTTCCCTGTCCGTTCCCCCTCTCCAACCTACTTTGCAATGCACCTCTTGTTCCACATTGTTGTTATACTTATAATGCCTAATCATATACTTCTTTCAAATAGTACCTCTTCTCATCCGTTCCAATGAAATATTCATTATCTATACATCTCTTTTCTTATCCTCCCCCCACCCTCCGCCATGTCAGTCTTATTTTACAACATCAGTGTTATACATTATTTGTCCTTTACTCAGCGTAATGTCTTCCAGGCTCGCCATGTTGTGTACTGTTTTACAAATTCATTGTTTTTCAGTGCTGTGCAATATTCCATTGTGCAAAGTTCAACAGGGAAGCAAAATGCTGGTGAGGTTGTGGAGACACTGGAACTTTAATTCTGTGTTGGTGGGAATATAAAATGGTACAACCATTATGGAAGATGGTCTGGTGCTTTCTCAAAAAGTTGGAAGTAGAAATACCATCTTACCCAGTAATTCTACTACTGGGAATATACCCTAAAGAAAACAGAGCTGTGACTCAAATAGATGTATGCACACCCATGTTTATTGCTGCATTATTTACAATAGCAAAGACATGGAAGCAGCCCAACTTCCCATCAACAAATGAATGGATAGGAAAACTGTGGTCTGACTCTTGGATGTATAGCATGTAATTGAAAAGACCATGGCTTGAATCAGATGCACTTAAGCTTTTCAACTGGTATCATTGCTTCTTAACACATTAGAGAGGTCCTTGATAACATCCAATGCAATACATTTTTTGGTTTCTTGGTTTTTGGTGCCAAGGGAGTTGGTTGATAATGGATCCAAGCAGGGGAAAAGCACTGACAGCTTCAATCTTCTCTCCATCTCTCATGATGTTATCTATTGGCCCAGTGGCAAAGATATTTGTCTGCTCCTTGGAGAGGGACATCATGCTTGGGAGGGTGAAGGGATGGCACAAGAGGGGAAGACCCTCTATGAGATGCATTGATTAAGTGACTGTGGTAATCGGGATGGGTTTGTCAGAGGCAATGAGATTGGCACAGGATAGAGCACGGTTTAGGGCTGTAGTACATAGGGTCGCCGATGAGTCGCAAATGACTCGACGGCACATAACAGCAACAACAATAACAATTTTTTACTGATATTTTAACAAAAGTTTACAGAAAACTTTATTTTTCTTTCATTCATTGTTGCACATTTTCTTCCCCACCCCTCAGTGCACTTTGCTATGCACCTCTTATTTTGGACTGTTGTCATACAAATCATACCTAATCATATATTCCTTTTAAACAATTTTTTCCCTCATCTGTTTCAATGCAGGATATATTTGCAGTATATATTATTTATCCTCTCTTAGTTTTCCCCAATGTCAGTCCCGTTTTACAACAGTGGCACCATGCAGTATTTGTACTTTTGTGACAGAGATACTTCACTCAGCATAATGTCCTCCAGGGTAATCCATTTTTTATAAAAATTCATGAGTTCCTTGTTTTTCAATGCAGCATAGTATTCCATTGTGTGAATATACCACAACTTCTCTATCCATTTGTTTGTTGATGGGCAATTGAGTTGTTTCCAACTCTGCTATTGTGAACAAAGCAGCAATAAACATGGGTGTGCATATATCTGCTTGGGTGGCAGTTCTGGTTTCTTTAGGGTATATCGGCAGTAGTGGAACTGCTGGGTCAAATGGTATTTCTATTTGTGACTTTTTGAGAAAGCCCCATACTGCCTTCCATAGTAGTGGCAACATTTTACACTCCACCAACAGTGAATAAGGGTTCCATTCTCTCCATAACCTCACCAGCATTTGTTGTTTGCTGATCTGTTGAATTTTGTTATTCTTAGTAGGGTGAGATGATATCTCACAGTTGTGTTGATTTGCATATCTCTTAGAGCTAGGGATACTGAACACTTCTTCATGTGTTTGTTCACCATCTGAATGTCTTCTTTGGTGAGGTGTCTGTTCACATCCTATGCATTTTTCAATTGAGCTTTTTACCTTTATCTTGTTGTGGCACTTGAGTGTTCTATAAATTCTAGATATAAGTCCCTTATCATACATGTCATTACAAATATTTTCCCCACTCTTTGGTTCCCTTTTTACCATATTGGAGAAGATTTGCATGTGCATAGGGATTTGATTCTTAGAAAGTCACATTCCACCTATCCTGGTTCTAGGTTTTTCAGGATACTTGGAAGAGTGTTCATGTTGTAGATTAGGACTTCTAGAGTTCTTCCAAGCTTTTCTCTAATGAAGTTTATAATCCTTGGTTTTAGTCCTAAGTCTTTGATCCACATTGAGTTGGTTTTTGAATATGGAGTGAGGTGTGAATCTTGCTTGATTTTTCTGCAGATATTTTTCCAATTTTGCCAACACCATTTGTTTAAAAGGATGTCATTTCCCCACTTAACTGATTTCATCTCTTTGTCAAAATTCAGTTGACCATAAATAGATGGGCTTATTTCTGGATTCTCATTTCTATTCCATTGATTTATGTGTCTGTCATTGTACCAGTACCACAATATCTTGACCACCACAACAGTGTAGTAGGATTTGGAATCAGGGAGCGAGATGCCTCCTACGTTGTTTCTCTTTTTAAGGAGTGCTTTGCTTATTCAGGGCCTCTTTCCATTACAAATGAAATTGGAGATTGCCTTTTCCATCTCCTTGAAGAATGGAATTGGTATTTGTATTGGGATTGCATTGAACATGTAAATTGCATTTGGTAGTATTATCACAGTATTAAGTCTTCCTATCCACGAGCAAGGTATATTCTTCCATTTCTCCAGGTTTCTTTTTGTGTCTTGTAGTAATGTTTTGTAATCTTCTTATAGTATGTCTTTTGTGCTTCAGGTTATATTTACTCCCAAGTATTTAATCTTATGATTAGCTAGTGTGAAGGGTATATTGTTTTTCTTAGCTCTAGTTCTGTATTCTCTTTGTCACTGTAGAGAAATCCAATTAATTATTGTATGTTGATCTTTTTATCCTGCCACTTTGCTGAATTGGTCAACTATGTACTGTAGTTTTCTTGCTGAGTCTTTAGGGTTTTCTAAGTATACTATCATATCGTCTGCCTATAATTTACCTCCTCTTTGCCAATTCGTATACCTCTTATTTCTTTATCTTATTGCTATAGCTAGGAATAGGAGAGGTGTAATGTGCAAGCTTGCCTAATTCCTGTCCCCAAAGGGAATGCCTCTTTTCTCTCCCCATTGAGAACAATGGTGGCTTTCAGTTTGCCTATATACTTTTTACTATGTTGAAGAAATTCCCTCTAATCCTAATTTGTTGAGTGTTTTAATAGGAAAGGGTGTTGGATTTCGTCAAAGGCATTTTCTGCATCAGTTGATAGGATCATGTGGTTCTTGTTCTTTGCTTTGTTAATGTGATGAATTACATTGATAGTTTTTCTTTTGCTGAACCATCCTTGCATACCTGTTATGAATCCCACTTGGTCATGGTGAATTACTTTTTTTTTGATATATCATTGGATTCTGTTGGCCATGATTTTTGCATCTATGTTCATGAGAGATAATGGCCTACAGTTTTCTATTTTGGTGGTGTCTTTACCTGGCTTTGGTATCAAGTATATGTTTACT